TACAGGTTCAATCTTAGGGGTTCAACCTCGGCTCAGGGACCTCAGATGTCCCTGTTTGACCAACAGTTAAAAAAATATATCTTTTTTTGTGCTGTTAGCAAGCAAGCTAGTACCTGGTCCGACTGGTCAGATAAATGTTACACCCAAAATATGCAGTTTAAAAAAAAAAAAAAAAAAGATATGATTCCCTCGGTGCTAACACCTGGCCCTAAAGTACTGCGTTCTTTTACTGTTGGCAGGCAGATGTAGATAAAGATAATTACCGACAGAGTAACGAGGCTGACCCACACAGGAAGTTGTGTGCGTTTGTTTTGGTGACGGTCGGACCAACTACACCAGATGATGTTGGTTGATGTTTCCATGGTGACAGCCCTAATCTGCACACATATATAAATATATATATTTACCAACGTCGCTAACACAACACACTGACGTTTCCTAACATTCTTCTCCTGGTCCACGGGTGTATCACTGTCGACCCCCCCGCCCCGAAGCATAGTCTGTAAAATGTGGATATAAAGGCAAAGGTGTTTGAAGCTAACACAAACGGAACAACACGATAATTTTAAGGATTGACGTAAAAAGTGTCATAAAAAATAAAAATCCCTCCTGTGGTCAAACATAAGGTTCGGTTCAGATTACAGAACGTAGTCCAATCCCAAGACTCAAATTAAACCCTCTGCAAACACTAACTGTGGGGGTCGGAGGTCGGGGGTCGGGGGGTGTGGTTTACTGTAAGTCCCTGTAAACTTTCCTCTTCATTCTAGGCCTCGGATTCTGATTGGTCGGTGGCGACGCTGCCGTTTAACTCCCCCGGTCCCGACTGCTCCAGGATGTCGGTCATCTCCCCGACGATGAAGGTCGGCTCGCTGCCCCGGCCCAGGGACGAGCCCCCGTCGGCCTGCTTGGCCACGGGCTGCGGCAGCGTGGGCTCTTCGTCCAGCCGGCTGGAGATGGACCAGTAGAGGTGGGCGTCCAGCCTGGCCGCCGCCAACGACAGCTCCCGGGCCGAGCAGGAGGGCGTGACCACCTTTGATGAGGAGAAACAATTTAATATATTTTATCTATGACTGACGACGCGCTGGTCTGACGGAGAGACGTTACCTCGAAGGTGTGGTGAAAGGCTCCGTAGTCCACGTCGAAGAAACCCTCCGCCAGTGACATCATCGGGCTGAACCTGTGACCCCACAGCACCTCCTCCGCTAGATAGGAGCTCCTCGCCTGGCAGGTCATTCCTACACACACACACACACACACACGTGCCAACTTGAGTACCAGAGTATAGAAGTACACACTCCTACTCCTAATAAATCCACAGTCAAAGACTGGGACGTGGACTGAGTCACTCCGGGCCGTCCAGTTGGCAGGAAGTCCCGTCATGAATATTCCCCCGCAGGAAAAAATGAGGAGGCTCAGCTAATTCTTTGTAACTCTCCTTTTTACTCCGTCTCAGGGAATCAATATTTGGAGTAGGCACCGAGGCCAAGTTTACCTCGTGATGAGCTGCCGTCCACTGAACACGGGCCAAACGTTGTTTGGTTGGTTCACATTCACACATGACTTCTCTTTAATTTAATAACCTTAATAAAGCAAAAATACCAACAGACTACGGCTGTAAGAAAACATCACTACACTGAAGTATCTCCTGATCCCAGATCAATGTCCTCAGTCATTGATCAGTTATTGATTTTTTCTCCCCAACTCCCAGTCCAATATTCCTGGTGTTGGTTCATGTTCTTGTTCTTTTCTTTCTTCTCTAGTGATTCCAAATGTAGATCCCTCTGTTCCAGAGTTAGGAACTGATGTTC